GAGGCTCTGTCTCAAAAAAAAAAAAAAGAGACAGAGTCTCACTCTGTTGCCCTCCGTACAGTGCCGTGGTGTCATAGCTCACAGCAACCTCCAGCTCTTGGGCTCAGGTGATTCTCTTGCCTCAGCCTCCCGAGTAGCTGGGACTACAGGTGCCCACTACAACACCTGGCTAATTTTTGTTGCAGTTTGGCAGGGGCCGGGTTTGAACCTGCCACCCTCAGTATATGGGGCCGGCGCCCTACTCACTGAGCCACAGGCACCAGCCTTAATACATAACTTTTAAAAAATGTTTACTTATATACCACCTAAATCCTGTCCTGTACCACTTGAATGTAGTATTTTGTTTGCGTCTTTATTTTTCTTTGAGGAGAGGAACTTATCCAGATTCAATTACACTCTTGGTTTATTCACGCATTCATTCCATTCAGCAAATATCTATTGTTTACCAAGTCTACAGCCAGACCCTATTCTAGGTTCTTCAGGTTTTTTAATGGGGCAGTTTAAAAAAAAAAAAAAAACTACATCCTTTCTAAAATTCTAAAATAACGTAGTTCACCTTTTTGTAGTATAATTTATATTTTTTGTGTAATATAAATGTTTGCTCTGAACGAATTAATGCTTTTAACCAAAAAGAAAAAAAAAAACTGCAGTACAATGTAACAGTTCTATTCACAAGATAATTACAGGATTCAGAAAATGCATTATTTTCAAGTGCATCACAGACAATGTGATGCGGTAATAAGAGCTTAAAGTTGTCTAATAGATACCTTCTTTTAGGTCTTCCATCTGTGATGGAAATATTTGGTACCTTTTTTGTGTGTGTGTGCAGTTTAACCCATCTTTTTACTACACAACTGATACACGTTTCTTGTAGAAATATTTAAAAATGCAGATGAACAAAACGGTGGGAAAATAAATGAGTATCAGGGCCAGGATTGTATTTTAAAAGGTGACAACACTCCCACTCTCACGTAGCCAAATTAGTATTAGCAGATAATTCAGATTTACACGCAGGCCACACCATGAGAGAATTTCCCTGGGCTTAACTCAAAGCTGTGCGGGGACGTCAGGTCTGGCCGGCGTCTCTGAATAGCCCAGCTCCGGCCCCACACGCCCCGCCCCGCCTCCGAACCTGTCCCGCCTTCCCTCACTGTTGTGCTTTCAGCCCCGCCTCTCAGCGTCCTAGTTCTCGCGATAGCACAACACGGACATCTCGTGGCTGAGCTTAGTGGTATAGGCACCCACGTGGGCTGGGCCTTTATTGGGTACGGAAGCTGCGGGGGTCCGAGCTTGGCGGAGGCGCCATGGGGAAGCTGCGCCGGCGGTACAACGTCAGGGGGCGCCAGCAGGCAGGCCCCGGCCCTTCGAAGGGTCCCCCGGAGCCGCCCCCTGTGCGGCTGGAACTGGAGGGTAAGGCGACTGGAGACTGCGGATGAATTTCACCAAAGGGACCGTCCAGAGCTTCGCTGCTAGGGCGGGCCAGTGAGGGCAGGGGTCCTTCGGCCGGTGTCCTGCCTTCACAGCTCTGGGGTGGGGAATCGCAGAAAGGTTCCCCCATTGCAGATAATTTAAAGGGTGGTGGTGGTTAGTGACAGTCTAGTTTTAACAGTGAATATGGAACAATACTCGTGGGCTTTTTCGCTCATATAGTAGGATGGAGAATTTGGCAAGAAAATGAGGTAGTTCCGTCCATTCCCTTGACTTCGATTATAATCTCTGTATAATCTCCGAACTGTCTGCTCAGCTCCAGGCTGGTCATTTCTCTCAACCAGAGAACCTGTTTTGTCCAAGGTACTAGCCTAGCCTCTAGAAACAGCAAAAAAGAAGATTTTAAACTTTCTTTTCTTTTTTTTAGAGATAGTCTCACTCTGTCTCCCTCGGTAGAGTGCTGTGGCGTTACAGCTCACAGCAACCTACATACAGCCCTTGGGCTTAGGCGATTCTCTTGCCTCAGCCTCCCGACTAGCTGGGACTACAGGCACCCGCCACAACGCCTGGCTGGTTTTTTTTTTTGGCCAGGGGCTGGGTTTGAACCCGCCACCTCTGGTATATGGGCCCTATTTCTTTGAACCACAGGCGCCGCTCATCGCCCGGCTATTTTTTGTTGCAGTTTGACCGGGGTATGGGACCAGAGCCCTATTCACTGAGCCGCAGGCGCCGCGCAGAAAAGAAGAGTTTTAAAGTCCCTACCACGCTGGGTTTACACGCCTAAGGGAGGAGATAGGCAAAGAGAAACACGTGTGTAAAATGTATATAGATCATTGCGTGGATGTGAAGCAGAAGTGGCCTTTGTGTTGGTTGCGGTTGTGTGGCACCCTGGGAGGAGGGTCTGCCTGTCTTGGAGTCAAGACCTGAGCAGAGATGAGAGAAAAAACGGAGGCCTTGGGCATGTCCAATCTCATAGGTCATGGTGTAGGCTAGGTCATTTTCTGTGAGTGAGAAAGGATCTATAGGAGAGTTTAGAGCACTGGAGGGGCAGGATGAGGGCTTATTTTTAACAGCATCATTTTGGCTGCTGTGTTGAGAAAAAGCAGTAAGAGGACAAAAGGGAAAACCAGGCTGGTGGGGAGGGAGATGGAGTCAATGGTTGAACCAGGAGACAGCAGTAGGAAAGGTGAGAAGTGGGTGTGCCTGGATTTGGAATGTGTTTTGAAGTTGGAGCAGGGGCACAGGAACAAAGAAAAATGATACCCAGGTGTGGAGCAGGCAGTTTGTGGGGAGGCTAAGAGCTCAGCTTTGGGTATGAGTGGCTCAGAACCTGTTAGATATCCAAGTAGAGAGGCAGGCAGCCAAGGACTTGGATGTTCGACAGAGGCAAGTCCAGGTGGTGATACCAGTTTTGGAGTCCCTCCTGAGGGACCCCATCTCTAAAAATAGCCAGGCTTTGTGGCAGGAACCTGTAGTCCTATGTACTGGGGAGGCTGAGACAAGAGAATCACTTGAACCCAAGAGTCTGAGGTTGCTGTGAGCTATGACACCACGGCACTCTACCAAGGGTGACCAAGTGAGACTCTGTCTCAAAAAAAAAAAAAAGAGAGAGAGAGAACATTAATCCCATCTTTCTCAGGGACGGGAGAGATCTTGAAAGAACACAACTTAGTTTGACTTCTTTGAAGAGCCTTCCCAGCTGCACTTTTTGGTTCATTTACTTTTTTTTTTTTTTTTAAAGAGACAGCATCTAGATCTGTCTACAAAGCTAGAGTGCAGTGACCCCCGTGGGCTCAAGTGATCCTCCTGCCACAGCCTTTCAAGTAGGTGGGACTACAGGTGCATGCCACCATACCTAGCTAATTTTTCTTATTTTTTGTAGAGATAGGGCTCTTGTTATATTGTCTAGGCTGGTCTTGAACCTGGCCTCAAGTAATCCTCCAACATCAGCCTCCCAAGTGATTACAGATGTGAATGATTGTGCATGGGCAAGATCCTTTTACCTTTTTTTTTTTTTTTTAAGAGACAGAGTCTCACTTTGTTGCCCTCAGTAGAGTGCCGTGGCGTCACAGCTTACAGCAACTTCCAACTCCTGGGCTTAGGCGATTCTCTTGCCTCAGCCTCCCGAGTAGCTGAGACTACAGGAGCCTGCCAGAAAGCTAGGCTATTTTTTTGTTCAAGTTTGGCCAGGGCTGGGTTTGAACCCACCTCCTTTGGTTTAAGTGGCCAGTGCCCTACCCACTGAGCCACAGGCTCTGCCCCCTTTTACCTTTTTAAAAATTGGCATCCCCAAAGAGCTTTTGTTAGTGTGAGTTATATGAATGGATATTTGCCATAGTAGAAATGAAAACTGAGAGGTTTCTGAAACACAGGAATATATAGGGTGTCCATAAAGTTCGTGTGAAATTGCACACAAACTTTATGGACACCCTATATATGCAAACACATGCTTCAGCAACATTGTCAGTCAATGTGGAACCTGTGGAAAGCACCACTGTGTACCTTTGTTTTTGGGGGTTTTTTTGCTTTTAATTCTATTAATTTGAGAACTACAGATGCGAAGATAGTTGTATTACTTAAAATTACCTCATCAAAAAGGAGTTTTAAAAAATCGGTACCAGTGTTATCAAGAAAAGAAAGAAAATTGTCTTACTGTTTTTTTTTTTTTTTTCGTTTTTTTTTAATCTGAGACAGAGTTTCATTACATCGCCCTTGGTAGAGTGCACTGGCGTCACAGCTCACAGCAAACTCAAACTCTTGGGCTTAAAAGTAAAAAACAAAACAAAACAAACTCTTGGGCTCAAATGATTCTCTTGCCTCAACCTCCCAAGTAGCTGGGACTACAGGCGCCCACCACAATGCCCAGCTATGTTTTTGGTGTAGTTGTCATTGTTGTTTAGCACGTCCAGGCCAGGTTCAAACCAGCCACCTTCAGTATATATGGCTGGTGCCCTAGCCGCTGATCTACAGGCGCCAAGCCTGTCTCACTCTTCTTAATTTAGGTCACAAAACCTGTCCTGCTCTTTGCAATGTAAATAAAACATAAAAACTGAGCAGTTAATCAAAGAAGCAGATTCTGCCCATATCAGAGCACCAGAGAGGGAACCCCAGTGACAGATGCAAGGCAGAAATAGGTACCCTCAAGGTCCTTCGTCCCCTAAGATTCTGGGGTAGATGGAATTGAAGAGTAATATGATCATTAGATTTTTCTAAAACCATCTAGATTGTTTATACTTTCAAACCATTATTTTTAAAAATAGATACAAACTCAGTACTCTAATGCACTGAACACTCTTAAGAGGGTACCATAGTATTATTGTGAAAATAGATTTGTTCTCACAGACCCCTTCTTCTGAAACAGCCACCCCAGAGGAGAATGGTGACTTTAATGAGCATCTTTGTTCTGTGGCTTCTGGGCTTGTGGGTGAGGTAAGTTTGTCTTTTCAGAGAAAGGCACCTTGAAAGGAGTTGATGCAAGCAATGCACTCGTTCTGCCGGGGAAGAAGAAAAAGAAGCCCAAAGCCCCTCCCCTGTCAAAGAAGGAGAAGAAACCTCTGACCAAAAAAGAGAGGAAAGTGCTGCAGAAAATCTTAGAACAGAAGGAGAAAAAGAGCCAGGTATACCGCTCCCCCCTCCCCGCCTCGTCAGGGTCTGGGCACAGCTCTTCAGGGTGGGGAGAGGTGGGAGGGGGTATCTCTGTGTCCTCCCAACATGGTCTCTGCAGCAGGCATTCTCCCAGCCAACAGAACTTTCTGGAATGAGAGAAGCGTGTTCTGCATCTGCACGGTCCTGTACAGTAGTGAGTCCTTGAAATGTGGCTACTGTAGCTGAGCAATTGAAATTTTGTGCTCAAATCTTTTTCTAATCATTCATGTTACTAATTTTTTTTCTTTAGAGAATTTCAAACTTTTTCCCCCTTAATCTTACTTAAGGAAAAAGGTCGATCATGGGAAATTCAAACATATACAAAAGGAAAGAGAACAGGCTAATGAACTCCTGTGTCCCCATTACTTACTAGCTCTAGCAGTGATCAGCCCCTGGTCAGTCTGGGGTCATCTCAACTGCTGGTCACCTTCCCACCCTTGAGTCATTTTGAAGCAAGTCCCGGGTATTATAAATCTATACTAGTTTCCTAGGGCTTCCATAAAAATGGCCACAAACGGTGGGGCTTAAAATAACAAATTTATTCTCTCATAGCTCTCGAGGCCAAAAGTCCAAAATCAAGATGTTAGCAGTGCTGTGCTCCCTTACAGGGCTCTACGGGAGGTTCCTTTGCCTCTTCTAGCCTGTAGTGGCTCCTGGTGCTCCCAGGCATGTGGCTACAGCACTCCAGTCTCCACCTCTGTCTTTACATGGTCTTTCCTCTGTGTGTCTATCGTTAGGACACTTGTCACTGGATTTAGGGCCTGCTCAGATGCTTAGGATGATCTCATTTTGAGATCCTATAATTTAATTACATCTCCAAAACCCTTTTTTACAAATGAAGTCACAGTCACAAGTTCCAGGGTATGGACATGCTTTGTGGGGGAATGAGCACTGTTCAACCTGCTATACAGAGCATTTTATCTATAAATATTTTAAAAAACAGGAACCTTTTAAATAGCCACATCAGTAGCACACTTAACTTTTATTTAATGTCAGATATCCAGTAAACAGTCAAATTTATGGCTGTCTCATAGTTATGCCCCACTCATTAGTTTGGCTTTTCTTTTTTCCTTTCTAATTTACTTTTTCAAGAAACTGGTGCAGGCTCAGAGCCTGTGGCTCAAGTGGCTAAGGCGCCAGCTACATATACCAAAGGTGGTAGGTTTGAATCCAGCCCGGGCCCACCAAACAACGATGGCTGCAACCAAAAAATGACCTGGTGTTGTGGCGGGTGCCTGTGGTCCCAGCTACTCAGGAGGCTGAGGGAGGAGACTCGCTTGAGCCCAGGAGTTGGAGGTTGCTGTGAGCTGTGATGCCACAGCACTCTACCCAGGGGGACAGCTGGAGACTCCTGTCTCAAAAAAAAAAATGGTGCAGTGACAGGTGCTGAAAAAAAAAGAAACTGGATTGTTTGTCTTGTAGAGCTTCCTACCACCTAGATTTATTTATTTGTTTCCTAGATTAGCTCACAACATGGTGGATTTTTTACATTTTATTTTATTTTATTTATTTATTTATTTATTTATTTTTTTGGAGACAGAGCCTCAAGCTGTCCCCCTGGGTAGAGTGTCGTGGCATTACAGCTCACAGCAACCTCCAACTCCTGGGCTCAAGCGAGTCTCCTGCCTC